TTTTTTTTTTTTTTTTTTGGAGAATTTTGAGTTTGTTCATAAATTTATTTTTAATTTTAAAAAATATATATTAAAATTGAGTAGAAAATCTTATTTAAAAATAAATAAATAAATGTTTTACTAATTAACATTTTATTTTTTTATTAAAAATAAATTTTTGAATAAATAATTTAGAAATTCAACCAACAAATTTTATGGTTAGGTTGAGTTGGGTTGATTATCTAATAAAGGTTGTTTGGGTTGAAAAAAAATTTAGAATTCGAACAATTGGATTGAGTCTAAAAGATGTCTCAATCTGACTTTCCCGAATACCTTGTATTATAAGGTAAGATTCTTGTTTATTTGATGTGTTTTGAGAAGATTATACGGTTGAACTTTCCGTTAGTTGAAATTAGTGCCAACTTGATAAGCAAAACTTTAGTTAATTGCAAAGAATACAAAACTCGGTCGAATTCGTTGACCAATCATAAGCTATAAATATGTGATAGATTTTAGGATGGGTTATTTTTAACTTCAATGAGCTAATCTCGTAACGTTTTTATCGAAGATCTTCTAAAGCCCAAAAAATAAGTTCAATAGGTCATTTCAAAATACATTTGGGAGCCAACCCATAATAGTTGAATGGGCTTGATAAATCATTTTAAGACAAAAGCTCGAGTGAATATAAGGTCCAACTTGAATTGGGTCAATTCTTAAACGAAATTCAAAGTCAACCCCTTTCAAACTTATTAAAGCCCAGAAATTCATTTCGGGACGGAAATCCAAAACAAAAAAAAAATAAAAATTAATTTTTTTTTTTTTTTAATCATATTTTTTTATTATTTTATTTACCATTTAATATTGTCTATCATATTATATTATTTTTAATAATAATTTAGACTTTTAGATCGAGTTAATCTCCCAGAATAAAACTCTCCTCTCCCTTGAATTCTTCTTCTCTAAATATTCTTTCAAGAGACTCTCGTCACTCTTGACTTTGTGTTCGAGTTATAGCTACAAATATAATTAGAATTGTCAGCGAGCTAAAATTTTTCTAAAATTTTTATAAAGGTTGAGTTCCTGCTCTCGTATACATTGTTTTATTTTAATTCATAATAAAATTAAAACAATTTTTAACCCGATGAATAATTCATTCCCTTTTCACTAATAAAATTTTGAATATAGAAATTCAAGAACGACTAAACCATTGATTCTTAGATTTAAACGATCCGATTCCTGAAGAAATTTACTAAAAAAAAAAAAAACAAAAGTACTGTCTAATAAAATATCTTAACAAACATTTAACAATGATTTACATTCAAAGTAATGTTGGTCCAAATATCATATTCACAAACAATTAAAAATAAATAAACCCCTTCACTAAACACACCAATAAATCAACCACAAACAACAAGAACAACCAAATAATAAGAACATTTCAAGACACGAACACTAATCAGTGATCAGACCAGACACATTCAGTTCTAAAAGCACCCAAAAAGCTTCTTCGGTGCAGTACCAGTGGCGCGATACTTCGCCGCCGTCTCCTCCGCCTTCAGAAGATCCTCTCCGCGCATAGCTTCGATCACCGCCCTCTTCTCCTCCGCAGATTTGTGAAGCAGAGCAATTCTGTTCTTCATTTTCTCAACGTATTCAGCCTTCTTCTTCTCCAAGCTTTCCTGCAAATCAAATTCCCGTACAGTTAACCAAACCCCAAAAAAGACACCCAAAATGGGTAGCCGAACAGAGCAATGGGTACCTCAATCTTCTTCAACTCAGCCTCCACAGACGCTTTTCTGCTATTCTCCCATGCCACGACAGAGGACAGCTTCTTGTGAGCTCTGCTCAAAGGGGTTTCAGTGAATTTCAATTTCAAAACGAAATCGAAGAGAATGGTGAGGAAATGAAACAATCTTACTTGTTTTCAGCCTTTGATTTCTCGCTTTCTTCCCAAGCTTTAATCAGCGACAACCTCTTCTCTGTTGCAACTTTTGCTAGAACAGCATCTGAACAATTAAATTAATTCTTAAATTTCATTGAAACAAACAATAATTAAGAAAAGAATTAAGGGTTTTTGTAATTAAGACCTCTGTTTACAGAGCCCTCGGTGGATTTGGGTTCATCTGGTTCTGAAACCTCTGAAGAACACAAGAACAGAACACAGAGAATAACAGAGCAAGATAATCGATTAAAAAGCCCTAAATTCAACTCCGAGCTGAAAATTAACGATGGATTTATGTAAAACACATGAAATAAAAGGTGGGTTTGTTGATTATTTACTTTCAACTAGAACAAGGGCTTTGGAGTCGTCGGGCTTGTCTTCGACGGGTGGAGGGGGAGGTGGAATTACAGCTTTCTCCTCGGCGACGTCTTTGGAGGCTTCTTCTTCGGCCGGTTGGGGCGGAGGATTGGAGGGTGGCGCCGCCGATTCGGGGTTGTTGGAAGCGTCAGCCATGGGGGAAATCTGGGAGGAAAGGAGGGAGGAGGAAGGGGAAAGTGGGGAAACTGTTGGTTGTGTTGAAGACTGAGCTGGATGATGGTTACATATTACTTAATGTGAGTTGGCATCATATTCAACACACTTTAACGTCCCAAACACCATACCCATTATTTAATTCTTTTTTTTCTTTTTTAATTATATAAACAAATATATATTTTTTTTTATCCAGAAGAAATTAGAATCAGTAAAATTTTATAAATGAGTTCACCCGTTAGAGTAATAACTAAAATCTTGGTCACAATGCATCACCGTTACAAATGTCAATTATTTTTAATTTTTTTAATAATCTTAAAAGCTCTATTTTCCGACTACAAAAATGTCAATTCACAAACAAACTAAATCTCTGGCTTTCAAAGAATTAAACCTAATCAGGATATATAATCACTATTTGAAACCATCCAATTGAATATTTAAGTGAAATAACAGTCTAGATTAAAAAAAATTGAAAATTAACAGTTTAATTATTATTATTTTTTTTTTTTAAAATTGGAATGTTTTTTTAAATCTAGTTTGGATGTAAATGGTTGATTTAATTTGACGTAATTAAGAGCGTAAGGTAGATTTTGTCAAATAAATAATTTCATTTAATGACGTAATCTAAGTTTTTACAAAAACTATAAAAAAAATAAATAAATATAAAAGAAAATTAATTTCCATTTTTGTAGAATATCTATTATTAATCCAAGTTTTACGAAAACTGTAAAAAATAAATAAATATTAAAAAAATTTAATTTCCATTTTTGTAGAATATCTATTATTTCCTATTGACAGTAAGATCATACTTAATTTAATCAATAAGCAATAATTAATTTTAATTTAATTAAAATTCATATTCTAAATTTGGGTTATAAGGTAAAATAATGAATGGTATTTGGTACAACCAATAACGGCTCTAACGTCATAACGTTCTCCAAGTTTTTATTATTCAAAATTAATGCTCATTCAATGTCAATTCACTGTTGATAAACAAAAATAATTAATTACGTTATTATCTTTTTCAATATAAATAAACCAACATTTACGTTGTTACATAATAACTTTAATTGGAAATTATGTTTTATTACATTAAATTCTAAATTTTAATTTTTTTTTTAATTTTAAAAATTTTAAAAATTTCTATGCAAGTCGAAAAAGGTCAATTATATTAGAATTAATTAATTAATTTTAAAATTGAAAGGCGTAGAAATTTAAGGTCACGAATGAATTGGAGAGATTAAATTATGTCCACATAAATTACCTTACCCATCACACCAAGCATTAATTATTAAATTTGACACATAGTTATCTTGCTTCTACATCAATTTCAAAACATTAAGAGCATATTTATTAAAAATAAAATGTTAATTTTAATAAATAAGATTAAAGCACAAAGAAAATATGGAAATTAAGGATAAAAAAAATAAAAACATTATGAAAACCATATATTAGTTATAATTTTGGCAAGCATGCTATAAATATTAAATAAATAATAATAAAAAAAAACAGTTATAAATATAAAGGAAGTTTTTTTTTTTTTTTTTTTTTTTTTTTTTTTGAGGCATTGTACGTTTGTTCTGTCCTTTTCCCACTCTTTTTTTGGTATTAAACCCTACACACCCTGGCTTAATTTTCAGAAATAATGAAATTTTTATATCAAATTCTAAAAATTTGAATATTTTTTATAAGTAAATTAAAAAAAAAAATTTAATCACGTTCATAATTTTATTACTTATATTAGAGGCGCCACCACATACCCTTCTTAAAAAACATACGCAGAAATATAAAAATAAAACATTTTTTAATGAAAAAAAATAATAACGTATTCTTGAGGAGCATAGTAATATAATATGGTGCATGTAGGGTCATGGGACGTGCGCATCATAGGGTCATGGGACGTGCGCATCATACATTCAATTATTTAACTCCAACACTAAAGTCACTTACTTAATTAGTTTAAGTTGATATCACCAATTTATCTATATGAAAGTTCGATTTTGTCATTTGAAATCTAAGTCAACCTATGTGAGTTCATGACATCAATTTAAAGTTTAAACTTGTGCAGAATTTTTTTTCTAAATTTTATAATGGTTCATGTATTACCGCTCACGCAAACATTAAACACTTTGCATGAATAAAATAATCTAAAAAATTATTCAAATGAGCTAATGACAACTGGCCCATATAATATATGGTTTTAATATATAAATATTTATATAAATGAGAAAAAAAAAACTAAATTATAAGAACTAAAATAAAATAAATATTGAAATTTAGGTGGAAAATTATGGATTTTAAGTTATTTAATTATTTATATTAAAAATTAATTACATGTATTTTCCATACCTGGGGTGTCGGCAGTTTGGCATGTATGGAAATTTTGTTTTTTTGTTTTTTTTTTTTGGATGTGTTCATATTATTTTGTAATAAATTAAATTCCACTCTGGAATATAACCCTCCAACTTAATTTTCTTTTGGCTACGCAACATCAAATATTCAGTTGAAGTCATTCAAATAATTATGTCATCAACCCACTATTATAAAAAATATTATTAAATGAGATTAAAATAATCAAATTTTAGAGTGATTAGAATAATTAAAAGTATATAATAAGGTCTAAAATATATATTTAATTTAGTTGGTTTGTAAATTCATAAAAAAAAATTTAGATGTGACGATTTCCGGTCACCTATTTTTTATACTCTTAACTGTATTAAAATACTTAGTAAATAATCCTCCTTTCGAGAAGGTTGAGGGAGCTTTAGTGGTTTTACTCCAATTTATAGGAATTTACACCGTTAATAAAGTTGAGCAACTCCGACATATAATTGTCGTGACAAAATACTGATCAAAGTGTCTATTAGGTAAATGCGAGGAAGTGATATGAATTTCGTAGGATTCAATCTAAGAATTTCGTTAAAGAACGAGAGCTCTAGATTTAATGTCAAAACCCCAAAAACGACGAAGAATCAATCTGAGGGAAAGTTTGCAAACAGATTATGTAACGGCCAAGATCCATCAGATATTGTCTCTCTAGGCTTTTCTTTGGGACTTCCCCTCAAAAGGCTTTAAAATGCATTAGCTAGGGGAAGGTTTCCACACCCTTGTAAATGATGTTTTGTTCTCCTCCCCAACCAAGGTAAGAGGTCACAATCCACCCCCCCCCCCTCGGGGCCCAGCGTCCTTACTGGCACACCGCCTCGTGTCTACCCTTCGAAGAATAGCGAAAAGGCTGATACATCGTTCGGTGTCTGGCTCTAATACTATTTATAACGACCCAGATCCACCGTTAGCAGATATTGTCCTCTTTGAGCTTTCCCTTTCGAACTTCCTCTCAACCCTTATAAATGGTGTTTTCTCCTCCTCTCCAAAGTCACAGATTATCTTAATGATCAAGATTAGAAGGAAATAAAACTCGTGATTCGAATAACTCCACAAAATAGTTTGATCAAGAGTACTTAAATGATTCTAGCATGCAAATTTAAACACAACAAAGAAAATGCAAAATAACAATTTGATGGTTTAAAAAGCATAATATGCAAACACGGTTAATTGAAAAGGTTTAATTTTTATGGTCATCAATACCATAATAGTCACAGACACGCATCACTTAGCCGAATGGATTCTATAATCGTCGTGGTGTTGGTCGGAGGAGGGCTGTGAAATGACAGACAAAATCACAAACACTGCAAAAACGACGGTGGTGATGGCGGTGAAGTTGACGAGCAAGGCCTCAGTGCCGTATTTGGCGACGCCGGAGCTCTGCAGAAACGTCAGCTTCTCGAGGAAGCCAAGCGCCGAGTTGGCGGCGGCCAATACGTACACACACGCGCCCAACAGCGCGTGCCATGGCAGCGTCGCTCTTCGAAGATCGGCGGACCCTCCGGGGAAGAAAAATGTCACGAATCCGTACAACCACTGCCCATTTTCAAATCTTAAGTTATAAATAAATACGATTTTAAAAAATTAAAATTAAAGAAATTAAAATGATGGGTGGCAATTACGTAAATACCTGGATGCCGTAGAGGACAATTACGCCAATTCCAATCCAGGAATGTAAGCTGTAAAGATTAGCGATCCCACTCTCGTTATGGTTCTTGAATGCAGCGCTGATTCCCACAATGCCTAGAACCAATGCGACGCCGTTTAGCGCCAGATGGATCACCTTCTTTACTTCTTTTCTGAACGGCAGTGATTTATAACTGATTATTGCTGCATGATTTTTGAACGCATTATTTCGAATTACTAATAATTAATTTTATTTTCAAATGGAAATTAACTAAAAATATAGAATTTAATTAAATCATTACCTTCGCCTCCTATGATGATCAATCCGAATAGCATAAAAACAGGATGAACCTAATGAGAGCATAATTAATATTGATGGTCTGTTGACGCGTCTAAAAAATTCAAACTTACTGAGTCGAGAAAATTAAATCTATATATATATTATTTAAGATTGTCGTTTTTGAAACCTTAATTCTAAAAAATTTTAAGAGTATGATATTATTTAAAAAATTATTTTACATGAAAGATAATTTGAAAGTTGACTTCAGATTTGACCACAAATATTATTGATATAGTATGATTATCTTATTAATAATCCAGATATATCCTTTCACACTAACTTTAAATTATATAGAAACCTTATTCTATAAACATTATTTCATAGGAGTGGGAATTTTTTGAATTTCATATTATGTTTCATATTTAATTTCGTGTTACATTCGCCACAAACTTTTTCTTAAGGTTAATGGATGATTCTTATTATAAAAGTATAAAATTTAAGAGTATATACTGACTAAGTTGGTGGCCTGAACAACTTAAATAGAATTGATAACCATGATAACTCTACCCTTTCCTTGGATTGGGTTGTTGGGATGTATTTCAATTATTTAAAAAAATACATCTCATAAAACTCAAATATCAAACATTTATAAGTCACAACTAACTTAAGTTATAAAACTCAAATATCAAACCTTTATAAGTCACAAGTTAAATATTCTTAATGTTCATAATAATCTTAAAAATAAAAATACATCTCATAAAACTCAAATATCAAACATTTATAAGTCACAACTAACCTAAGTTATAAAACTCAAATATCAAACCTTTATAAGTCACAAGTTAAATATTCTTAATGTTCATAATAATCTTAAAAGCAAGATGAGATTGTAACTCTAATTTCTGGTTTACTAAACCTTAAAAACGTCAACTAACGAGTCAACCAGCAAACTGACGTTGAATTTTTTAACTCAATCTAAATTGAAAAAAAAAAAAATGAAAAAAAAAAAAAAAAAACTAATCCAACCCCACCCCACCTTTATGATTTATGATTTAGATGATGAGATGGTGAGATGATTTGAAAATCAAATCATCAAATAAAGCATTAATGAAAGTAGGTGGGAAGTGAGAAGTAGGACTTAAAAGTTGGAAATATCGTTCTTTTTTCTTTTATTGAAAAACAAAAGAATGGATCTATGTGTGTGTGTATATATATATATATATAAAGGTAAACATGCAAATGGTTTGTAACAATTATAAAATTAAAGAAAAAAAGCTGAAATTAAATCCAAATTAAAACTTTTAAAATTGAGATTACTTTTAACCTAAAAAGAAAAATAAAAAAATGAGTAAAATAAAAAAGAAAGGTAAAGAGAGAGGGAGAGAGTTACGTTGAAGATGAGACTCTTATTGACAGACTCCCAAGCAAGGCCGCCTCTGAAGTGAATGGTCCAAATGAGCACCATGATGAGCGCCACCACTGCGAGCCCGTGACTGATCACGGTGAACGGAAAAGCTTTCACCGCCGGCATCATCTCTCTCTCTCTCTCTACTGTGAAAGTCCAAGCAATTCTGGAACCCTCTGGGTGTCGGATTGTTTGTTCGTTCGTTGGTTCTGTCAGGGCCTTTTTATGGGTTTGATTTGTGAATTTATAATAGAGTTTGAGATCCACGAGGTTGCCTATTAAATTTTAAAATGGATGCATTTCATTCTAAGGTTTAAAAAATGGAGTATAATGCTGAATGGGCCACTTTGACCCAAGCCCACAATTTCCTCCATTTTCTTCACTTTGACCCAAGCCCACAAAGTCCTTTAATTAAATTTTTTAAATAATATGAAGAAAAAATGGAAATTTTAATATTTATGATGTATTAAATATTTTAATTAATTTCTTTTGTGTATTTTAGTGGCAGGATGGAGAAGTGAAATTCCAAGAAGGAAGCAGGCAGCTGGAATCTATACTCAGTGGATTAATGATTGATTATATTTGGAGTGGAAAGGGCACATGAACCCACGTGTTTCCACTCATTTTACAGATATTTTTATTTTAATTAACAATCCAATTATTCAACCTTACATTTAATGGCCTTCTTATATTGGTTTACAGGTTTACGCAATTAAAAAATAAAAATAAAAAAATAAAAAATAAAAAAAATAAAAAATCCTCTTTTTTATCTTTTTGACTATTGAGCCCGTCTCAACTTAATCTTCTCGATAACTCTTTAAAAAGAAACTTATATTCTCATTTCTAACTAATATATATAATCCTTATTTTATGGAGAAAAAAATGTATAAAATTTATTCTCCAATTCTTGAGTGATATAAAATGGTCATTTTGATTATTAAATAGGAATACTAAAAAAAAAAAAAAAACCTGTTTATTATTCTACATGCCTTTTCATATATAAAACATAATAATAAAATAATATTTAGTTGTACTAATTTTTTTAGTTTAATAAGAGAGTTTTAACCTTTATTCTTCCCTGACCAATTTATCAATTTAAATATAATTTAGTGGATAAATCATCCATTACCATAGTTCTATTATATTATATTAAAAAAAAGTAAATACTAACAAAAAATAAATAGAAAACATACCTGAAATTTGTGTATCACGCTGACTCCATCTAATTAGAGAGAAAGACAGACAGGATATTAATTACTAATAAAAAAGTACATTAATTGATTAAGACAGCAAAGTTGTAGATTTAAATCAACAAAGTAATAAAAATATTGGTATACCATTTTGGAATCGGACCTTGACATAGAAACATGGTTGTTTGTTATATCACACTTGAATAGTGAAGGACCACTGTGCCCTGGAAAAGCGAACCCTAAACTGCCATTGAAATTTATATAAAATCAATTCCTAAATGTGATTAAATAAAATTAAGCCCAAAAGCTGGTGGCTTCCGGCGTTAAAATAAAGTTTTGTTTTGGTTGTTGATGAGGAGGCATCATTAAAGTATAGGGGCACATTTGTCATTTTGAAAAAGCACTACAGCACCGCCAGCCTTTTCGGCCAAAACTAAACCATATTGCACTTCAGCGTTGTTCCTTCCAACACTGTACACTGCGGTATTGTCTGATTGCCGCCCGCCATGGCAGAGAAACTTCTCAGTTCTCCTTCCCTATAGCTAGTTTCTCCTCATCTTTTCCACCTCCTCTAATGAACCTGCTCTAAGCCCACAAAATTTAATTTTTACAGGCCCCCAGCTTTTATTGCTGCTTTCTGGATTTTCCTATCTTGCAGCGACCAGGGAGGACAGAATTAATTCCGGTTCAAACCAGAATAAGTTATCACTATCCCATCAAGTTCTACACAACATTGTATATTCGTATATTCCACCGATTAGAGGTTTTCCTTGTCTGAGATCTAAAACAGAACTGAAACAATGTTCAAATCGTGGAGCAAGAAGCAGAAGATCAAAGCTGTATTCAAATTACAGTTCCGGGCAACTCAGGTATTGATTTTGCAGGCCGGAGGGGATAGCTACATTTTTCTCTGCTCAACATGAAATGGCTTCTTCTACCCGAAATTTTTTATTTTTTATTTTTTATTTTTTATTTTCCTGTCAATTAGTTATAAATTTTCTACCCCTTCTAAAGAGATTAAAAGCTGATGCAAGAGAGTTTGAACGAAGCTTGCACTTATTTGTGTCAATGTGTACGAGTGTGGTTTGTGATAAATGAAGGGAGAGGGACAAGATCTTACTTGATAATATTGATCTTCATTCAGGTGCCGAAGTTGAAGAAATCGGCTTTGATGATATCTTTGGTGCCAGATGATGTGGGGAAGGCAACAGTGAAGCTAGAGAAAGCTGCAATTCAGGATGGAACTTGTTTCTGGGAGAATCCTGTCTATGAAACAGTCAAGCTTGTTAGAGAGATAAAAACAGGAAAAATCAATGAGAAAATTTACCATTTTGTTGTTTCAACTGTAAGGCATAGCAACATAAACTTCTATATTTTCTACAACTTGCAATTAGCCATCTGGTGGGAGCAACTTGTAAAATTCTATATGTATGTGTATGCACTATGCAGGGATCATCCAAATCTGGCTTTGTAGGTGAAGCTTCGATCGATTTTGCAGATTTTGAGGCGGAGACTGAACCCATGACTGTTTCCCTACCTCTTAAGTTTGCAAACTCTGGTGCCATATTACACGTTGGTTCTCTCTATCTCTCTCCATCCGTTGTAGCTCTACCTAGCAATTTGAAGTCTAGTCAAACTTCTATTTCATTGTGAATATTCCTGATTTTCATGGGTTTTGATGAAACAGGTTACCATTCACAAGATGGAAGGGGATAATGACCAAGGGTAATATCAAAAACTTAAGCTTCATTTTAATTTACAGTGTGACCTTCTTTCCTTATGAAGTTTTAGTTTCCAATTGGCAGGGATATTGAAGAGAGTGGAGGCGCAGCACTTCAACATGAGAATAGCTTTAATAGCCAGCTTAGCTTTTCTAGTACAGAAGGCAACCATTATCTCACAGAAGTAAGGTCTCATGCCAATTTTCCAAACATTTCAAATGTACGAAACCATTGGCTTGATCCTATTTATATAGAGTATGGTTGAATTGCAGAATGGTGACCAAAATACATTACGTGAGGATGCTGAACAAAATGGCAACTCTAGAGTGCCCCCTGGCTCTAGTTCAGCTAAATTTGCATCATACTGGGATGGTAATAATGGTGAAAGAAGTACTCAACAGGGTTCCAGATCAATGACGAATGGTGTACGAAGTCCTACCCTCTTGTCACCCCCTAGACAGAACTCCATGCCTAGGAAGGCAACAGTTGACACCACTAGAGTGAAAAACCAAGCACACGAGCGATCAAATACAGAATGGTCCCTGGGTTCAGCTTCAGATGGAAGTTTTGGCGACTCTGCAAATAGTCCTGAAGAAAACACTGCAAGAGAGAGGATGCACCAGGTCCCTAATAGTTCTATTGAAAGAGTAAAGAATGAAAATGTAATGCTCACGAGAAAGCTAGAAGTAACAGAACTGGAATTACAGTCTCTTCGCAAACAGGTCACAAAGGAGACTATACAAGGGCAGAATCTATCACGACAAATCATTTGCCTCACTGAGGAAAGAGATTCACTCAAAACAGAGGGCAAACAACTCAAGTTCTTGAAGAAATGCAATGACGATTCTGAGGACTCGAAGAATTTGAAGTCCGAGATTAAGGAAGCAAGGGTTCAGTTGGCAGCAATAGGGGAGGAGCTTAAGCAGGAAAAGGAAGTACGAACTGATCTTCAGCTACAACTGCAGATAACAAAGGAGTCCAACTCTGATTTAGTTCTTGCTGTGAGAGATCTTGAAGAAATGATTGAGCTAAAAAATAGGGTAATAGCTGATCTATCAAGAAGTTTAGAATCCTGGGAGAGTGATAGAGAACAGGAAGCTGTTGGCCATTGCAAAGAGAATAATGATAAGGACCCAAAGCTCTCAAAAGAATTGATTCAAGAGTATGACGATGTCAAGGAAGTGGATTTGTTGAAACAGGAGATCAAAGATTTAAATAGTGAAATAGAAATGCACTTGAAGAACATGGAAGAGCTAGAAATGCATTTAGAACAACTTATGTCGGAAAATGAAATCCTCAAGCGAGAAAACAGTGACATGTCTGCAAAGTTAGAGAGAAACAAGACAGAATATCAAATAAAACAGAATGAATATTCAGGTTCTCTGGCTGTTATAAGAGAACTTGAATCCGAAATAGAAAGACTTGAAGAGAAACTCCAAATACAAACCGAGGAGTTTTCAGAATCTTTGATCTCAATTAATGAACTTGAAGGTCAGATCAAGCGCTTGGAGAGAGAATTGGAAAAGCAGAAACACGAGTATTACGATGGACTCGATGCCATGAAACATGCCAATGTGAAATTGGAAAAAATGGCTATAGAAGCCAAGGAAATATTGAGTAAGACAAGGTGGAAAAGTGCCATAAAAGCCGTCATTCTTCAGGAGAGAAGTAAAAAGTTCTCGATGGAAATGGCTTCCAAGTTAAATGATAATGAAAAGAGAATCACTAAAGCAGTCAAAGAAATCAATGAGTTGCGTCTGCAGAAAATAGTATTGAAAGAAATGCTCCAGAAGTCTAAGGAAGAGTCCAGGCGAAATAAAGAACAAAATGAAGAAAAACTGCATGGCCTTTCCTTCCAGCTAGAGTTAAAAGCAAAAGAAATGCATCACATGTCAATGGAGCTAGATAACAAATCTAGACGACTTGAAGATGCAAAAAAGCAGGAAGACTATCAGCAGGAGGAAATCCAAATGCTGAAATCAAATATAGAAAAAATAAATGCAGAAAAGCACACTAAAAAGCAGGCAGAGAGAGAACAACCTGAATGTTTGGTCTCTGAAATGGAAGCATTGGAAGAAAGAAGTAAAGAAAAGGAGATTTTGGAAAAAGAGATGGCTTTTTCGAAGAGAGAAGTAGAAAAGGCACAGGAAGAGCTTACTAGAATTAAAGTTTCCAAACACGAGCAAGATACATTAATCGACAATCTGCTAGCTGAGATGGAAATTCTTAGATCCCAAATTAATGAGTTAAAAAAGGAGTCACAGACAGAAAATTCTGAGAAAGAAAACCTAAGAAAACAGGTATTCCAATTAAAGAGTGAACTAGAAAATAAGGAGAGAGCTTCTGGCACATCAAACATCAAGTTGGAAAGTCAAGAAATTTCAGCTTTGAATCGAAACTTAGCATCAATTCATAATGGATCTCAAACACTTGCGCATACCAAACAGGAGCTTTCAACTTCAGGAGAGGTGATGCAATTGCTTCAGGTACTTCTCGAACCCTATAACTAAATAACCAGATGAAAAATAAGACACAAAATTCTGAAATTTTGATGTTTTCTGTTGATACCGGATTTTGATTGGCGGATCAACAATAAATTGTATTATCGAGAACCGCGTTGTGCCTACAAGAGAAAGAGAGGTCATAAGGGTCTAGTGCTAACGTACCACTAGTCTGATGCTCAAGTCAGTAATTGAGTCGATAATAGGTGTAGAAAGGAATAAGTCAGTGTCTTTGACGTACCTTTCCATCTTCTGACTTGCTGAACTTTTATGTGGTTGAGAAACCTTCATCATAATGGAGTGTTATAAAATGTCGTGATTCTCGTGGTGCATTGAGTATGAGAAATGGTTACAAGGTTGGACCATTACATGGTCAAACCAATTCTCAAATGAATCTTGAGTGATTTTGATCGAGACTCAAGTCATAGTCTTTTCAACCATCGGTTGACTCCTATAGGATGGTCAAACTACCCTTGAGGGTCCACTTCAAGTGCCTCAACTTTGGTTGGCACTTGTGGTAGTCGACCTCTCAGGCTCAATTGACCCTCTTCAAATTTGCTTCTCGGCCTTTGAGCTTTTTCTTTTGGTGGGTTTTGACACAATCAATTATTTCACCTATAACACTCCCAAAAGTCCTCTCCATAATTGATATTAGCTACAGAGTACCAAATCTTATGATTAGATATATACTGAAAAGATGAAGTGAAAGATAATGAGATGGCTGGTAATGAAAGCTTTAAGGAGCTAGTGTTGTAGTAAATTCAAAGATATATTTATTCTAGAGAAAAATCTCAACACTACAATATGGGAACAAGATTATGTTCAGAATTAGTCCAAATGGTCAAAGATCTTATGCAAGTACAAAACTACATTATTAACTTGACAACCTAATGTAATTTTCTCTTCTGAGAGGCATTGTCAGTAATTGTAGACATTCACAATACCTCATCAAGATGACTACGGTCTTCTTCTAAATAAATTCCATATCATCATAAATGAAGTAGTTGAAAAGAAAGTCAAGCACTTGGTATATATCATAGTTTTCTGTAAAAATTAAGATGATATAAAAAAGAAAAAAGAAAAAAGAATAGAATTTCCCACTTAGTTGACTAATATTGATACTTTAATCGCTAACCATTTAAGCTGAAGCTAGTTTATTCCTTGAAGTTGCATAATACTTCTACAGTTGTCCCTTTTAGACTTTGTTTCGTGTTTCATTTGTATCACTTTATCCATATTCTAGACTGTGCTAACATTGCAGATATCTTTGCAATATAGGAAACAAACCATTCTGGTATCACCATAGCAAGTAATAAAGAAGAGAAAGCGAACCAGAGCAATGTATATGAAGCACTTTGTGGAAGGTATAAGCTGCCGATCAATTAAACTTGAAGCCTATTTTTCTTGTCAGTTGTCATAACAATAAACATCTCCATGCATTAATGTTTCCAAACCCAAATAACTATGTATAATTGTGAATATATACTGCCAGAAAAGTTCACATTCAGAAGCATGTTCATTTCATTATTTCCTTATATTTTTTGGGTGTTAAAGAGCTTTTTATTTAAATATGTAATTGTTAATAATGCTTTGCAGGAAAGTGGACTCTAACTCATCAAATAAGGAACTGAAATCGTCTACTGCTGGGAAAGGTACCGAGGACTGTAATATTGATCTCCTTAAGGAGATGTCTTCCCTAAAGGAGAGGAACCAAACTATGGAAAGAGAACTGAAGGAAATGGAAGAGAGATACTCAGAAATAAGTCTCAAATTTGCAGAAGTAGAAGGCGAAAGACAACAACTTGTAATGACTGTGCGAAACCTGAAAAATAGTAAAAGAAATTAGTATTCATGGCTCTAGCAGGAAAATATCGAGTACTTAACCAGAAAACTCGGAATAACCAAATTGGAAATCACTTCACAAGTATAGATATGTGTTGTCAGAAGATTATTTTCTCATTGTCTATTTTTTTAATTTCTTTTGGGGGGACAAGCTCATTTTTTTAACCCTCAAACTTACATCACCTAGTTGCGGATAGGAGGAACTTGTATTCCAGAAATGTTTTCACGAAGTTAGCAGCTAACTGGCTTGCAATGTGCAGGGTTCAGAAAGTCACCGGTAACAATTAGATAAAGAGTATAATCGTAGTCTCTATTATGTTTTTGAGTCTCCGATCGAGATTAGGGTTTCATAAAGATGTTAATTGAAATCATGATTCCAATATCGTTCTATGAAGAGAGCTGTGCCTTTTAAGTAATTCAGCCTACACATCTTGATCCGTCTGTAGAAGTTCATTCTAAAAAATATTGACATAATGCGTTTGGCTGGAGTATTGAATGAGTTTCCAAACTTGGGACACAATCTTACGGAATTTGAGTAAGGAACTTACCCAAATTCCAAGATTGTCATGGTAAGGTGTTTAAACACATCCCCCTGTGCTTTGGTTTCTCTGCCATGGTCACGACATCACCGCGGCAGAGTAGCTCCTTGCTAGTTGAAGAGTTTGAAATATCAAAGCATAAATCACCACTTCCAAAAATTTTATACAAACACTTCCTAGATGACAGTGTATTCTAGTTACAAATGTATAGGAGAAAATATATCCAATCCGTTTGATTTTGCAATTTTTTTTGGATTGTGTCCTTAAAGATTGGCATCACTTGAAGAAATGGCTTCGTTTAATTTGTTTGAGAAAAGGACTGTAACTAATCCAGAAATGAGGAAAGCCTCTGAAGAATATTCTCTGATAGACTTGAGAATCGCTAGAATTTAAGTAAAGAGCGCTCGTCAATTCAATCAAGCTTGCTGTGCTATTAAACAAAAACTTCGTACAACCTCTCATGAACAGAGATTGTTTACAGCCGCAAGCAGTGAAGAACATTAACTCGAGATCTCAATTGAAATCAACAATTGCATTAATTGAGCAAAAAGTTTTACCTCCAGGAATCGAGTTTCAACACTCTCCAAAGAGAAAATCCTCCCGAGGAACCTCAGAACCTCAAAGACTGACCACCAGCACCGAGATAACCATTATCAACATCGATTCTCCGAGGAAGAACGTCGTCAAAGAACTTGGAGACAGCAGAATCGATCGTTAACCAATCAATTCCGAGAGAGATTTCAGGGACAAAATCGAAGCAGAGGAGGTCGCCGACGGTGGAAAGTGGCTTCAAAAAGCGAGGTGAGGGTATAGGGAATCGGTGGAAGAATTTGTTTTCCGGAGCGAAGTAATCAACGTGGAGGAACCGAGTTCGCATTTTCAGCGACTGAGAGCAACAACGATAGAGGGAAAACGGTCACGTAAACAGAATTTCGCGCTTCGAGGGTATTTTTATATCTCTGAAATTGTTTACAAGTTAAATAGCTACTGATTTTACCAAAATGCCCTTCTAGTGATGAGATTTAGTTATTTTAGAGATTTTTAACGTAATTTATATTAGCCATACAAACGGAGATGAGAAAATTAGAAAAAGATTACTCCTCTTTAATATTTCTCATTTTCTATTATTTAAAGTCTATTTAAAAAATTCAAAATTTTTATTTAATAAAATAGGCTAAGCTTCGAGCGACTAAATGGATTGAAATTGTTGGGCCTAATACAACCAAAATCCTATTCAGAACTTAGTCTTATCGATTTAAGTTGATTGAATCAGATCAAAACTAGCTTCTATCCATTTAGACAGGTGGATCTTACGTTAAATTTCCTTAAAATCCCAAGATAATTAAGTTTATTCTAAAACACTAGTCTTTTGATAAAATTGAAGTATTCAAAATGTGCGTGGGCAAATACTAGACGTTGATTAGTTATCTTATAGGCATATTTTGATAATAACGTGGGTTCACTCGAGGATGGTAATAGGTCCGACAAGGATCCTTATACCTATATACGTGTTTATCACCCTCAGCCACTTCGTGTCTTCTTCTTGAACTGCCACACACCCATGCGAAGCTGGCCAGCCCCTCTATTTTCTATTAAATCCTTTGTCTCATACCCATCTTCTACGATTCTCTCTGTCAGGAGTATCATCGGCTGTCATCATGGAGTCCCAGCAAACGGCGCCTCATCGCCACCACGCCCACCACCACCATGACCCTCACAACGTCGCACTTCACCGAAGTAAACAGCCGTTTTCCCTAAATCTTTGCTTATTTGTAGAGATATAATGTTAGGAATGTGTAACTTTGTAGGTGTGGAAGGGGAAGAAGATGGGCAGCATCATGAGAAGAAGTCAGTGTTGAAGAAAGTTAAGGCAAAGGCTAAGAAGATTAAGGACACGATCACTAAGCATGGACATGGCCACGATCACTAAGCATGGACATGGCCACGATCACCATGAGCCCGAGGATCACGAAGATGAAGAAGGTGGAGGAGCTGTGGTGGATCCTGAACTTCAAGGGGCACCATGTATGTCTTTCTTTTCCTGAAACATGTAGCTCAAATTATAAGGATATTTGATGGTGCCACTTCTATTACTTGGCAGTGTATGAAGGCGCTGTAATGAGGAGCGCTATGGCCGGAAAAGGGCAGCAACAAGATGTCGGAATTGGATTGCCGACAGAGGTGCACGATCAGCCTCCTCCGGCTCCAAGAGAAACCGCAAGCCGTCCCTCTGCTGTTGAGCCAAACACGACCATGTCTTTGTCCCCATGGAGGTTGGAGGAGGGTCCTCAGGCGCCTAAAGACAAAGCTCCATACCCTCACACTCCTCATAATTCCGAGGTCAAAGCTTTGGATCCAGCAAAAAGAGGTAACATTATCCACTCTGAGCATAATCTCTACATTTTCTTTGGGCTTCTTCAAAAAGCCTCATACCAATGGTAATATATCCATAATCATCCTCCCGAGAATCTTCATATCTACAATAGCAATTTCTTTCTTACCGTTTGATCTTTATGAATGTGTTGCGGTGGAACAGGGAACAAAGAAACAGGGGATTCTCAGACATTCGATTCATTTGCAAGAATGAAGCTCAACCACGAAGACGTACAGACCCGTCCCGGCTTAGCTAGTGGAATAGACCAAGGAAATCAGAGCAGCTCCGGGGAAAAGATCTCAGGCGTGGGTTCACCCATGCGGGGTAAAGCAGAGGAAAACACAGACACCAACTCTTCTTCGCCATTGGAGTATGGAAGGAAGATAGCTTTAGCAGTGACAGAGAAGCTGAAGCCAGGGGAGGAAGACAAAGCACTTTCAGAGGTGATATCGGAGGCTTACAACACAAGTAAAGAGAAGGTAGTGAAAGCTGGAGAAAATCAGCCCAAAGGGAAGGTAACAGAGTCCGAGGAATTGACTCAGCGACTGGGGGGAGAGGATAATAATGAAGGAACACAGAGATACTCCCCAGCAACCTCCACCACTGCAGCGACGGTGAAGAATATGGCGGATATGGTGAGGGACAGTGTGGGGTCATGGATGGGAAAAGGTGGAGATCCTAATACTTCATAAGGTGAATCAAAATATAAAATCAAGCTTCATTGTGATTTCTTTTTATTAGTTATTTATTTCGTGAGGATTGAAGCAGGGGTTGAAGGATTTACAGATTCTACGGCCGCGCGGGAGAGGAGGCGGAGTAGTCCGGCGATTAACCGGGATCAGTAGAGATTTCGATGTTTTTAAGAGAAATACATATGTATACATATATATATATGGAAAATGTATGGAAAATAAAAATTGAAAGAAAGAGTAAAGGAATTGTGTACTTTTTGGCTTCTACTTTACTTCTTCTCCTCTTTCTTCTCTTCCTTCTTTTCTTCCTTCTTCTCTTCCTTCTTCTCTTCCTTTGCAGGTCCGACTGATATAATATCCACTTTACCTACTTTCTTCAATTTCTTCACAATCGCCACCGCGTCCATCGATCCAACCACCGTAAGTTTCTGATCCTTCAGATCCGCGGCGATCGAATCAACGCCTATTCATCCAACCATCACACACAATTTTTCGATCGTAAATGTAGAAGAAAAATGATACGGAAAACAAAGAATCGAATCGGAAACGAACCGTAGATGTCAGCAGCGGCTTCGATTGCTTTCTGCTTCGATTTGTCGTCCGTCATCGTCATTACCTTCAGCACCACTTTCTGCGAATCTCGAAATCAGAAAGAAAATCCGTAGAAGGAAAGAGAAAAACAGGGCGGAGGAATCAGAGAGAGAGAGAGAGATAAAGAAGAACCTGAGCCATTTGGTGAGATGAGGAAAAGCCGTGTAGAACAGAGAAAGGAGGGTGGGGATTGTAATTGTATTATGTTTATGAAGAACAGTGACGCATCCGCATGCCATCGGGGGGTTTATAAAGGGCACGCAACAACAGCCAAAATGCTCATGCCAAACAAATTCCCAATCCGAATTCTTTATTTTTTTTATTTTTTAAAATTGAAATAAAAACAAAAGCCAAATTTGTATTACTCCAAAATTCAACCCATTTATTTTGATTTTGAGACGTTAGATAAATAGGACTAAAAACTTTGCGTGTTTTTATGGGAACAGGCAGTGCAAAATCTACTCGATTCCCACATCGACTATTTTATCATTAAATTAAATCAAAATAAATTTAATGAATTCACTCATTAATAGAAAATTTCAATAAAAATATTTATAAATATCTAGAACCCACATCGACTATTTTATCATTAAATTAAATCAAAATAAATTTAATTAATTCACTCATTAATAGAAAATTTCAATGAAAATATTTATAAACATGTAGAAATACTAGCTTAAACCGCAAGAACATATTAATGACAATAGACACATTTTTGTTATTTTGCCGAACGTGTTGGCTAAAACAAGCAAACATATATATATATATATATATATATATATATTCGAGTTGGGCATACTGTATTTAATCTATAACGGAACTTCCATTAAGGAATGCGTGGTAGCACCAATTATGAGAAATCCACCGATCCACATGTGATGTGTGAACAATGAAAGTTGTGTACCATAGTCACAATAATTGAGCATGTCACACCGAAGTTTTATAGCTCTTGGTCCGCTATTCTGATCATGGTTTTTCAAGTTTCATAGCTCTTGGTCCGCTATTCTGATCATGGTTTTTCAAGTTCCATAGCTCTAGGTTCGCTATTCCAATCATGTGGATGAGGAGGGATTTAAATCCCCAACACCGTGGTTTTAGCCACATGCTCCAATTCTTTGAGCAATCAAATGCTCTAGCAGTGACAAACATAGCTTAACTAACTTAAAACCATAGATTTCAACGACAAGATTCAAATATTCTATTTCATATATCGAATAGAAGTGCAATTCAACAAAATTCAAGTTTAAAGAGTAAATTAAATTAATACGATGTTTCCATTTGGATGATAAAGCCTTTATTCATGAAAGCCTAAGCTAATTTGTTGAAGCTTCATTTGTTGAAGGTAGTGGCGTCTTTAACAGCATCAGCAGCACCGTGAGCCTTAGCCGCTATCTGTTGTCCGGCCTCTTGTATCGACTCCTTGGTTGATTGGAGTGTATCACTTGCCTTGTCCATCAAATTACTCGCCTTCTCCTACATGATCATATAAAGCAATATGTTAGCCATCATCGATTAAATGACCACCAAGTATTTAAGAAAACAGGGGCGAAGTGAACCTGGGCTTGGCCTTTGGCTTCTCCAGCTTGGTAGCTCAAACTTTGAGAGCTGTCTGCCATTTTGGTCCAAAAGAGTTGGAAAGGTGAAAGGGTTTGGTGAATAAAATTGTTTTTTTGTTGATTATGAGCACTCTGGTCGTGATTTTTGTACACAAGTTTGGATCTGAATATGGTCTACCCATTTAAAAGGGTGCACGCCACGTGGAAGTTTAGAGTTTGAGAGGCGGTGACACTTGTCGTGGTGTGGTTGGAGCTGTTCTACTTACGGGCCAATTGACCAGGATTTCAGTTCAGATTGTTTCTCCGCTAATATGTTATATATTTTGTCATAAAAAAATGTTTCTAAATTTTTTTTTTTCTTGAAATATTCTTATAATTAATTTTAGAAAATTAATATTTTTTTTTAAAATACTCTTAAATTTAATACACTCTACTTCAAAAAAAAGTTTAAAAATATCCTAAAATTTAAAAACTATTATTAACGCTTTCAACTTTAAATACTTTTTAAAATTTATAAGTAATTTTGGAACACTGTAATAATATTTTTAAACTAAAAAAAAGTGCTTTTGAAATTTAAAAAAAAGTTTAAGAGTATTAATGAAATTTTTGAAAGGGGTATTTTTTAAAATTTTAAAGTTCAAAAATGTTTTTTAAAATAAATATTAACAATTACGAAAATTAGTGTATATTTTATTAATTTACCCTTATATTTATATTTGAATATAAATCCTTTATTAATTTTAAATTTGATTAATGAATGCAATTGGCCATTTTTGCTTTGATTGCTTTTGGGTTCCTCATATATAATTATATACAGTAAGTCGTTGTTGTTGATTGTTGTCTTTGGGTTTCGAACTCCATATGGAAAAGGAGCGTTGTCTGCTGTTGTTGATTGCCTTTGGGTTCCGAATTCCATATGGAGAAGGAGCGCTGTTGTTGATTGCCTTTGGGTTCCGAATTCCATATGGAGAAGGAGCGTTGTTGTTTGCAAGGTATCGACCATTTACATGGACCGAGCATGATAAACGTGCCGACTAAGCTGTTGCCTTTTGCTTACATTTCCATATAACACCAATTTCAATTTCTCAAATCTTACTTTTCAAAAATCCTCAAATCTTACTTTTCAAAAATCTTGCTTTTAAAACTCTCCTTCAAAATTTGCCCCCGTTTTCTAAAAATCTTACTTTTCAAAAATCAATCTGCCCCGTTTTCTAAAAATCTTACTTTTCAAAACTTTCAAAACTCTCCTTCAAAACCTGCTCCCGTTTTCTAAAACTTTCTTAAACAGGTTTCTTGAACAGAGCCTGAGGCTCGAGTATACATTGGGCCTCTTTCGAAATCTACTTCCATTTTCTAAAACTTTCTTGAACAGGGCCTGAGGCTCGAGTATACGTTGCTTGGTCATGCTTGACCATAGGCAACACTCCCGTCAAAGTCAAAGTGCGATTATGACAATTTTTTTTATTTTTATTATTACAGTTATACACCTTTGAGACAACAAAACCTTCAAATATTATGATAAAACAATATGATACGGAACCATCAAATATTTTCATAAACTTAGAGATCAAAGTAAGAAAGAAGAGATCTGAGTTCAGATAATTCTCAAACTTGAAATAAAAACTTGCAATTTCCTCTCAAACATTAGAACAATTTTTTGAGGAAGTATTTCATAACACTACAAAGTACAAACCATGCTATAAAATACTTCCCAAAACATCCAAATATGAAAGGGCTACACGTATATTTGAGTTATAAATAAAATAATAAATAATCAAAAAAAAAAAAAATACAAAAGCTTCTCTAGAAGATGTGTATTGTTCGTTCAATAACAAACCATCCCACATGAACTTGGACCAAACACAAACGAGCCACAGACAGCTTCTTCTTGTCGGCATCTAAAATGCCCGTGCCTTAACAATGTCAAAGCTCATCTCACTCGGATCGGTCGCCTGCAACTCAAATTGAATGCCATCTAGCTCTCTCTTGAACCTGTCCTTCGAGCTCGCATACACCATCTTGCCCCTTACCTTCGATGTCTCGGGCGACCTAATCATAAAAATAGCAGTAAAAAACAATTTTTGGGTTGAACCCACGACCTAATCATAAAAATAGCGAGTAATAAAAAACAATTTCTGGGTTGAACCTACGACCTAATCATAAAAATAGCAAGTAATAAAAAACAATTTCTGGGTTGAACCTACGACCTAATCATAAAAATAGCGAGTAATAAAAAACAATTTCTGGGTTGAACCTACGACCTAATCATAAAAATAGCAAGTAAAAAACAATTTCTGGGTTGAACCTACGACCTAATCATAAAAATAGCGAGTAAAAAACAATTTTTGAGTTGAACCCACGACCTAATCATAAAAATAGTGAGTAAAAAACAATTTTTGGGTTGAACCCACGATTGATTACTGTTACGTGCATACCATGCAATGAAAAAAATCTTGCTCTTCTGGCAATTCTCATCAGTGATGAAGTCGAAATCAAAGACAGCATAGCGACACTCATCGGCAGGGAGAGATCCAGTGAAATCCTCGTATGTTTCTTCAGGTTTTCCGAGTTTCTCTACCACAATATCCTGTTGTTCAATCTTGAAGATGATGAACCTGTAATTCCTCTTTGCTTTCAGCTCCAAGAACTTCAACTTACATTCATCTCTCACGGTCATTCCAGATGCTGAGTTCGCCTAACTCAACAAACGAAGAAAGTTAACATAGTTTTTACCTCGATAATCATGATAACAACGAAAGAACAAGTACGAGAAAGGCATACCATGTTGTCTTGTTGAGGAGGAGGGAGGAGGGAAAGAGTGTAGTATGGAAAGGGAGATGAAGAAAGAGAGAAATAGAGGAGGAAAGGAATGGATTGGGAGGAAAATGAGAGGTTAGAAGAAGGAGAAGTTTAAGGAAGGAAACTAATTAATTTGAATATTTGACCAATTCCAACGCCTAAAGTTTAGGATATTATGTTACATCGTATTCTAAATTAAGAATAACTATGTTCTAAGCTTTGCTTAAAACATTAATTTAAGAACCATATATATATCACATATTTGTTTGTTGAATTTGAATGTAACAACCAGGTTTCAACTTTGAAATATTTTCCATTCAAAACAACAAATTGGGACATATATTTTCATGCACAACATTAAGGTTACAACGTTGTTGAAACCAAAAAAAAAAAAAAAAAAAAAAAAAAAAAAAAAAAAAAAAAA